GTAGTCCTTGCCCATAAAAAGTTGATTAGTCCTCGTTGAGTAAGCAATAGATCCTCTAGAGTTTGAAGTATATTTAAAGGTATATTTAAATTGAAGATTTCATTAGGGAGAGTAGCTGCACAAACCTTCCCAGAGAAAACTTCCTTATGTGAATTTTCACATTTGTCAAGGTGTATAAATTTTTCTGATCAAGGATTTTTGTCTCTTTGTAGTCATAAAATATCAAAAAAATGTGATGAATTTTGACAAAACGCAAGTGTTATTTGCTAGAATATTATGGGTCTGTTTTTTTACAGTCAGAAAGATACTCTAACTCCTGCACTGGTGCAGTGTCTCCTTCAATTGTTGAGCATCCTTAGGGATAAGGTTTAATAAAGCTGAAACTCTGTTAAAGGAACACAACAACTGTTGTATCTAACTACATAAACCAGCACCAGGTTGGTCAAACACTTTCTTTTTTCTTTTGCAACAGAGAGGTAAACAAATGGCCAAACTGTTACTTGCTGCTGAATTAACTTCAAGTTAAACTCAGCTACCTGATGTTGCTGGACTCAACACCAATATGCAAGAAAGCTCATTTGCAAAGTATGGACAAAATTGGCATGGTAAATGCTTATTCCACATCTGCCTCATTTTGCTTTAGGCTGATGCAGAGTTTATGTGTGTTTAGGTGAGCATGAAGTTAGAGAATAGGGTGGCTGTAGACTAGTGCTTTACTTTGGCTTTTAAAATACATTATGTTTTACAACGTAATGGCCCCCTTTGGTCTTTTTTTTGGTGCACTAAAAGCTAGATATCCTTTTCTGATTCTTACTTTGATAACAAACTACCTCTGCTGTTGCCAGTATTTGTTCAATATTGGTCTGTGGAACACCTATTCTGTGGAACTTTTTTTTTCCTCCTCCCTAAGGCTCTCATATTGGCCTATGAAATGTCTAGGGCACTTGGATGCTTGGGCTGAAAGGCATTTTAAAAAATTGAAACAGAACCTTTAGTAGGTTTTTTTTGTTGTTTTTTTTTGTAATGTTCTCAGTTTATTTTGTAATCTTTGCCACATGCAGAATAAGTGCTTGGGTGGTGTACAGGTCTCCCCTGAATTGGTCCACAGTGTTCTATAATTTCCTCAAGTTTAAGGACTTAGCAATAAAATTGCTAACTGACCTGGACAATGCCCTCAGGTCATGTGCAAGGTGACAAGTTTATTATTTTGTACACATTCTGTATTTATACATGTTTATAGTTATGTTCCAATGAACTGTGTGATACAGAGCTGGGGCAAATCAAAATGATCTCTGGAATTCCAAAGGTTTAATATTTTTTCTAAGCTGTAAATCAGTGCTCTCCCTTAAACTTTTGGTTACAACCAGATTTTGATATATTAGCTGTTATATTTAGGGGAATTTTTGCGTACTAAATAGCATGTGAATTGTCCATGCATAAACTGAGACTGAGACCTGGGCAAAAGAAATGGCAAACTCCACAAAGATTGAGGCTCAGGGGAAGCACTTTCTAAAAGCTGCCTTTTCTTTTTGTCTGCTTTTCCACCAATGCTTTAGAAAAATGTCATTTATAACCTTTTGAACAAGCCAAATCTCCTTTTGTCAGATCAACCAAAAAAAAAAAAAAAATCCAACTGTGATAAGGATTTAGAAAATCAAATGGTGGGAAAACCCCCTCAGTCCTACTCAGCTGACCCTGCTGTTGAAGCTCTGGTGCTGTGTAGAAGCCTCAGTGTGCCCCCAATCTGCCACCCTCTCAATCAGTAGGCTATTAGGAAACATTTCCTCTAATCCCATCATTCACTGCTGTTGTGGAAACCAGCAGGCTCCCCAGCAAATCCACTCACGATTATTTTTATCCCATTGAAAGCGGTACCTTATTGGACATAATCGAAATGGCTCATGTGCTGCTGTGTGAAGAGCAAGTGGGCTTTACCATCACTCGGGCCAAAACTAAATATGGATTAAATTGCACCCTGCCAGCACAAAGTGTGCATTGTGTGGCTCTGCTCTGCAGTGCCCAGCCTCAGCTTGCTCCATGCCTGATAAAACACAGCACCCTCCTTCAATCCTCCTTTCTTAAGAGGGCAAAACAAAGCAGCAGTGTCTGCGCTGGAATGTGCTGCAGGTAGTGATCTAAACCTCCATCACCAAAGACAGTGAGAGGATTAATTTAATGCATGGAGGTTGTTGCTTGGAGGGACTTCATAGGAATGCAAAACAAAGGCCCTCAAAGAGACCACAACAAAGGGAAAAGTCATGTGATCTCAAACTCCTGGTAGGATGAGAAGCACTGGATTAAGGGCTTGGTCTACCTTGTAGAAAAGGCAGGAAATACTGTTGTACTGAATAGCAATGCAAGCAGGGAAAAGATTTTGGAGTGGGAGGTTTTTTTTGTAGACCTGGAAAGCTTGGATGGAAAACTGCAGCCTTGTTAGTGACATTTATATAGTAATTGATATGAGCAATTGTCTGTGCAAATTTAGTCATGTATGTCATGTGTTCTGAGTTGTACTTTGTTTCCAGATAAATATCTGTTTTTCAATTCCTGTTTATTGATTATATTTTTAAAAATTTTTGTCAGGGGCCACTCCATTGCAATCCTGAGAGTGGTGAAAGTCACGAAGATCCCTGCCTTGGCACAAAGTGGCCTCCCGAACATTCCACATGCTGCTGTGCAGACTTGCAGACTTCCAAGTGAACTCCAAGGACACTCAGGTGGGCTGGGCATGTGAACTGCTGCCATTTGTGACAGTCACAGCAGAAAACAAGTAAAAGACTGCTCAGGAGTGCAGCACATGGACACAAGGGAATAAGGAGTCCTTGCTATTCTGGGAAGGTGATCCCCAGTTAAGGTCTGAATTACATACTTCAAAGAGTGTAGAAATAACAGCATTACACCTGTTTGCTCAACTCAACCAGAGACAGGGATAGAGCAGTTTTGAGTGTGCCCCAAACTTTCCACCCAAAAATCAAGAATGCTATCACACTCCAGCACAAGCACTCTGGCTTTATGTTATCTCCAATCCCTATCTGGATTCAGTTTCCCGTCACTGCTTATGGCTTTGTCATAAGGACCAATTTTATGCAATTATCAAATTACTCTTTATTCTCAGTCTTCTATTCTTGTAAGTCAGATTGTGCCACTCCTTTCTTAATTATTTAAATTGGGGCCATGACTCCAATCCTACTTCAAAAATACAGCTCCCCTCTTTATTTGCTTATCTGTCTTGTCTGAAACGACCCTAGTGGTGTGGAGCACCAGGTTCTCTCCTCTTGTTCTCTCCTCCTCATTGTTAAGACAGCAATCTGTCTTTTTTCCCCCACCTTCCCCCTGCCACTTTCTTGAGAAGCAGTATTTTTAAACAGTTTTGAAGCACTATGATTTTAAGCATTGATGTTAACTTATTGCTTCTTCAAGGTCCTCCTACTTGAGGAATGATGTTACTGCTAAACTACAAACATCTCAAGACAAAGATGCAGCGAATTCTACCATAACTTTAATATAATTACACCATAATGGAATTCTTAAAGAATTAGAAGAATTCATCATTAAATTTGTACAGAAAGCTATTATTAATTTGAGGCCAACAAACCAAGACTAGCTCATCTAACGTTTTATTCACATGTAGAAAAAATATTACAAAACAATTTATACAAGATTGTAATTTACATTTGTTAAAGGAGTATTTAAAATAGCACTGTAAGTACCTAGACATGACACGTGGGCAGTCTAAATGCACTGATAGTGGATGTTTTCTATTGGCATGTACAACATTGCTTGCCACAGGCAATATACAAAAGACCAATTTGGTTAAATTAAGAAAAAAAGTATATACAAAATATACACATATATTTAAAAAACACACTCTTAATTTTTTCCTCCCAATTTGCTCTCAAGCTTTCACTCACTAAAAAAAAAAAAAAAAAGGGTATCTTTCTCCAGGGTTGCTGGATAAAAACAATTATACAAAGTTTAAATTCCAATGGGAAAACATACTGTGGCAGATGCTGGCAAAATTTTTGAACATTGCTTTTTCAAGAACTTTTATTAGTGAAAAGTTAAATTCCGTATGTTCTAAAAATATTTTGCCATATACTGAAATGCACATTGGATTTTTTTTTCTATTTACAAAGTATATACAAAGAAGCACACATCTCTTCATGCAGTGTAGTGAAAAATTATGTTTTGTAACTTCTTAAATGTATGAAAGTATACAAAGAAATTATTCAAAACTACTCATATTTAAATATATATGTGAAAGTATCTGAGTAATTGTGTATAACTGCTTATTATTCCATCAGTGACCAAAAACGTGGTATCTACTACTAAAAACACCACACCAAACAACAGAAAAAATCACTTGGGTAACTTGTTCACTTTTGTTTTGGCTTTGGGAAATGTGCTTTTGCACAAATGAATAATCTCACTGGTGAAGAGCTGGAGCATCTCTCTGCCATGGCTGCCTGTACTGTTTTTAGCTATTCTTGTGCAGGTCCAACCTTCTTCTGTGTGCTTCAAAGCAGAAGTCTTTTTCCATAATGGATTCTGAATACTGTCTCAACATTTCCATTGCCACACAAACCATCTGTGGAAAGATGAGTAATATTTGTTGCCAATTTGCATCTGTTTTCACTGATTGCTTTGCTTTAGTCAAGGCACATTGGGTACTTTAAGGAATAATTGCTAGAGTTCATCACAGACAAGTGTGAGCCTGTTGAATGTAATGAATCAGAAGAGGGTACTGGGATTATCCACAGAAGCAAACGATATTTTAGGGATGAAAATGGCTGAAAAAAATATACTAAGGGATGGTGATAAAGCAAACCACTTTTTATATTTTGTGTGGAACATTCGAATTGACACAGTACTACAGTGAGAAGGACAGAGCGTCCTCAATGAAAGGGACTCCCAAATGAATGAATTAGTTTACCACAGTCTTGACCCTTAAAAATAATGCATCAATAAAAACCCTTGGTAACAGTCTCACTGTATAAATACTTTCATGGCACACCTGCTGTAATCTGACATTTTGATTTGACAATTGATTACAATTATTTCAACATTCAAAATTATATGCTATAATAAGAAGTGCTGTTTTCCAATACTGAGACTACTAATTAAACACAATGTCCTTATCTATATGTCTGACCTTCATTAAACTAAATCTAACTTACAGCTAATCTCCTGCTACACTTAACAGAACAATGCCACCTCCCAAAAATGTAATAACTGGATGGAGGGGACTTCAACCACACATACTGTAACATGCTAATTCTCTAACTCCCCAAACTAGCTTATTGACTATAATGTAATACATAGAAAAAGCTTGAGCTTATTAATAGGTGATCCTTTTATAAACAGAAATGGATTTTTTTATGTCCTTCAATAGCAGGAATATTATTTAAAATTAGAACCAGCAGAAAAAAAATCCTAATGCATGCACAAATCTGCAGGCAGAGTAACTGACCCTGTGTTGTCCCACATCTTCTGACACCTGTAGCCATATTTGAGACCCCCCCTAAATACACTGAAGTATTTTTATTTCTTGCTGTATTTACATATACTATTAAGCTCTCTCAGATATTTTGAGACTCTGAGGAAATAGAAAGAGAGATTGAAAAGGTCATAAATCCACTTTCAGGGTCCTCATAGGATGCTCCTTGAAGTTTAACTTCACTGCTGTTACAGCTCACACACAATGCTCAGAAGGTGTGAAATGATGCCATTTTTGCCCAGCTGGTTTGGAAACCATGCAATGCTGAAGACCAGACTAAGTTTGATGAGAATCAAGCAGGGGAGTGTAAGGGAACCATTCAGCTTTAGTGCCGAGAGAAATAGCTCCAGTCCCTAAAAAAAAGTGACAGAAGAGTGGTTACATAAATTCAGAAAAAAACTGTATGTACTTCCATATTTGACTAAACACTCAAAGAGTAGAGGTATACTTACTGTTTGCTGCAAAATTTACTCAAACCTGAAGATTAAACCTGTATTAAAATTCATATTAAAAAGCTTCTATTTGGGTGTATATATATATAAATACACTATATTCTGATTTCATGTTATTCTTTTGAAATATAATAATAAAACATTGACATATGCAAGACTGCTATACATCCACAGGCAGTACAAAGACCATGCTTGTCTCAAAATATTTCAAAAAGACATGAAAGATGAAGACTGGGTGGAAAAAAATGCTATAGACTGAGATGAAATACTTGTCTTGAAGTTGTACAGCTGGCCAGTGTTCATCCTGAAAATACATTTCAAGTAAGCCTGGTCCTGTCCTGTGAACACTACTGAAATTTCTCTGTCAAAAATGCACACATAATTATGCACTGTAGAGGCTGAATGGGGAGAAATTGTACAAAATGAATCAGTAGGGTCTATTATAAGAAAAAAATGAAGAAATATTTAACCCTTATGAAGATATTGATTATTCAAAATTATACACAAATCTCAGTAGTAATAGAGGACAGCAGAAAACTATTAAAGCATACAGGATTTTGAGGTGTTAGAAAAGCTATCTCCATACCCATAGGAATCAATAAGAAAATTTACAGTTCATATACCATAATAAGTATAGTGAAACAAAAGCTAATTTTTGTAGTAATATTTTGAAATTCCGTGTTCTTTTGATCTAAGAAGACTCTTAAATAATATTAATTGCATACTTCTGAAGTTGATGCATGGTTTGGTGGGAAAACACCCACGAACCTCTGATTTTTAAAATCTTGTTAGTATGGAAATGCATTCCCTTAAAATATCAAGAACTGCTGGGAACTAGCAGTGTTGAGATGTGAAGTAATATTCATGTCACTGTCCCTTCCCACACACAGCTACAGAGTACGACTGTCACCAAATGATATTGGGCAACACAAAAATAAAACTATCAGTGCTGTTATGTGACACCTGGGCAGGTAGTGCCCAGCATTGTTACAGGAAAACTTTACACTGTAAATAATACACTGAGAGAAATCCGTGCCACCTGGATAAGGCTGATACTCAGTGACAGCAGCAGATTTCCAGGGCGACAAGTTCCATTGAAGTCAATGGCAAAACAATTCTTGATTTAACACTCAAGAATTCCTTCCCTTTCCTCCTCTTGACAATATCACCTAAATAATTAAGGCTGGATTCACAAAGAAACTATTGCATTTACAGGTTTTCAGAACATGCATGGTTTTTGCTAAATACTAATTACTTTCTACCTCAAATTTAGGAATAACACAAAAGTGTTAATGCAAATCAAATGGGAGAGGATCAAAGGAATGAAGTTTTACTTCTGCAGATGGCCCAAAATAATTACAGATAACATAATTTTCTTAATTAAGTTCGGTGCATTATTAATATTAGTGGCAACTTCTTGTGTTCCTGCCTCTGAGTTCATTGCACAGGAGACTGTTTCAGCTTTCCAGCCACAGCCTGCAAAAGCCTGGAGTAACACCACCACTTGCCATCAGCACACAGGCCATAATGTGGGATCCTTTCACAGATTAGTTACTTGAGGCTCCAGATTACATCCAAAAGTAGAAAAGTCCATTTAAAAAATATGGAGCACAGCTAATATTAAAAAATATATAATTATGAAGCAGTATCAGAGTGACTAATTGCAACAGTTCCACTGTTACATAGTTGAGACAATTGTTTATCACATCTACATTTTGACCTCAGACCTGTATTTTCTCTGAGCTTTTATAGATAAAGTTGCATTTTATGGACTAACTTACATTTTATCTGATGACACGGAAGAATAAATGGCATTATAAGGCATTTGAGATTCTCTTGTGTTTCTACTACTACTTCAGTAACTAACTCCACAGAAAGGCTTTGTAAATATTTTTAGATGAACACTTGTACGTCTTTCATGCTTTGTTTGCAACAGGCAAAGTTCTCAGTCATAAACAAAAGCTAGCCTCACACAATGGTTTGGTCATAGGGCTATTAAACTGAATTTTTCCCTTGAAATTTAATGAAAAAATTCCTTGATAAAAGCTGACTGGTGTACAGACTTACCCTTGTATTCTGGTTAATTATTTCAACACCACAGTTTGTGTAATTACACCTTTCAAATTCAGTTAATGATTTAAAAATGTGAAACTGCTGGATCTCTTGTAGAGCTTTAATTTCAGCAATAGCTAGGTGCAACCTATGGAGAAATAGAACCCTACAACTTCTTGCAATTCTATTTTTATCTAGCTCTATGTGCCTGGAGCACTCATTCTCATTCCTTTGTAGTTAGGTTTTTTACCTCTTTATCAGTCTGTAGAGTCATTTGTTGTTCCATTACACTTTGTCTTTGGCTGGCTTTCAGCAGTCACCGAGTTCTGAAGCGATGAAGCTTCTGTGTACGTTCTATGTTCGGAGATTTCAAAGGACTTTGCAACATTTCCATCAAGAGACTTAGCTGAAATAAGTACTTCACTTAGTTCCTGGTTACTATCCAATTCAACAGTGGCTGCATTTTCAGTCTCAGGGCTGCAGGATTTTGCAGATCCTCCAGCCAGTTCTGAATATGATTCACAGACAGAAATGCTGTCACAACAAGCTGAGTTTTGCATAAGAGGCCAAGCATCTGGAATGTCTCCACAGGTAGAGTGTGAAAGAGAACCAAGGAAAGCAGGAATCATTTCTCCAACAGAATCAGAAGCTCTGCAGAAGGATAAAAGGTACATGGTTTACAAAGCATTCCAGAAAATATTATCAGTATTTTAATTACTTATCTTTTATAATTATAGGTATTTCAAGAAGGTTTAACAGTGCTATATTAATACTGTAGAGATATCCTATACAAATGAAATCTATTGAGAAGGAATACAGTTTATTCCTTGGCTGGAAATGACAAAAGCTCTGGTGAACACTACTTCGGACAGTGAATCCAGGATTCCACAAAACATGAACTAGAATTGGGGTTGTTTAGGGTGAGAAACATGACAAAAATACCATAGTAGTGTTCAGATATAAACAATGTCACAAAGAAGAAGGAATTTTTTTTCTCAGTGCATTGAGAGGGGAGTATTAAGACAAGATATAACAGGCTTAAAATGCAGAAACAAAGATGGTTAGGCAGAGTCTAGACTCTTCAACACAAGGAGGGGTTTGGTGGGTTTGGTTTTTTTTTTCTCCCAAACTGTAGACAGACAAATATCTAATGTAACTAAAAGAAGTAAAGTGGCTTCAGACTGGGATAATGGAAGGCAACAAGGCTTCTTGAAACTGTGCTTGCTTTACACCTGAAAACGCATTCATTTTAGATTTTTCAATTTGTTCTGTCTAACCTTAAACATGTGAAAAGTTTTTCTTTTATTCTCTTTTGGAAAGGACATAATATTAAAAAAGAGAGTATTATTTTTATTTTATGGAAAATGGAAGAAAGTAGAAGTGGAAACTCAGTATTATCTATCTCAAGTGTATTTAAAGTCCAGGATAATAGTGACATGTGCCAAACATTGTTGAAAGTTCAGTAGTGTTTTTCACTATATATACACCAAAATAAGTATTAACAAAACCAGGAAGTTATATCAATATGTTTTATTTCCAAAAACTGTCTACAGATTTTTAAAAATGCAAAGACTGTATTAAGTCTGATATGCAGTGTGACAAATCTTGTCCCACATTTACATGCCTATAACAGTTTTTAAGTAGCCTTACTCATTTCCAAAACATGATGCTTTAATAGCTTTGATATACACACGAAGCATTTTCAGAGCTGAGGCCAAAAGTCAGGACACTGCACCACAATTGAAGGAAATACATTATTCTGGCAAAGGAAATTGGCACAAGCTCCATTTCTACTGGAAGGAACCACAGGATCTTTGATGTCTACATAGCATGGATATTACAGTTATTTTTAAAGCCTTAACCAAAAGATTCCTCAAAAAGTGCACAACTCTCAATTTATCAGCCTCGGTGGTATACAAGGATGACTTGAGCTTGTTGGTATTTAAACAAATTGTTAGAGAAAACTCAGATATTTGTACTTAGGTCGCTAAGTCACCTTGCACAAACAATACTCATGAAGAAGCTGCCTCTACATTTTCAGTTACTTGTGGCCGTAAGAACAAAACAGCTGAAGACCAATTTAAACCTCATATGGAAAATTATTCTAGCTAAAAGAAATAAATACATCCTGTGTTAAAATCTGTAACCAGGAAACTCTGAAGGACACCATAAATTTTATATATTTAGCTCATGGCCCTGGTGTAAAAATAACTACCCTACTACTTCACTCAGATGATCGGGAGAAAATGAAGGTTAAAACCTGCTAGAAATTCAGAAATAATAGATATTTCTAATCTTGCAGTCCTAAAGAGTTCCTTAAAAATCTTCCTGCCACTTGTGAACTGTACCTCAGTCTGCCCAGATTCATGGGTTTATGCAGCAACTTGCTAACCACTAGCAGAACAGGGAGAGGCCAAAGCCTCTAAGGTGCCACAGAGTAAAAGGAACACTATCTGCTGTGAGAGAAGCCACTTCTTCAGAGAAACCCACGGGTCAAGTCAGCATTTACTAAGTAATACTTAATTTTTTCACCATAAAGCTATTCTTGCACAATGTGGAATGATATGGCTACAGTTCATCAAAATCCCTCATTCCACTTCAAGCAGCTGTTGTCTCTGTATAAATATTAATTTGACTGCATTAAAAATATTTCATGTTTAATAAACATTTGTAAAACTAAGTTACCTTTCATTGAGCGTGGTCTGTGAGTGGAAAGCACAACTGTGACTGCTGTGCTCCATGCTACAGGTTTCATCACAGCACAGTGAGGGAATCAAGTGAACTGGTCCTAAGGAATGAAAATTAATTTAATAGTGTTAAAACTGTCAAAGCTCTGTATAAACTTAGTCTCTGTTCTTTTTCAAACTTGAGTATTAGTTTGCCAGTGACATTATAATACATGGATTGCAGAAAGAGATTTCTTGCTGTAAAAACATTTTAAAAAAACATCTTTATTCTTTAAAATTGAAGTATTTATAAAAACCAAGTCCTTCTTCCAGGAGTAATAGAGAAGCCAGTCATGAGTATCTATTTTTAAAATTAATTTTCTTCTCTGTTGAATGCACATAAGTGCAAGCATTCTGAGTTAAGCTATCAGGATGATATTTTAGCCTGTGCTTTTGTGTTATATTATGTATTTCTTAATGTCATAACTGCATCTGTTCTGATATGACTTCACAAAATGTCAATGACTTGAATTGTCCGGGTTGTTAATGGTAAATCCTCTGGTAAATCCTTCACACTAATTTAAGTCTCAAGGCCAGATGCAGTGCTATTTTCATCAGAAATAAATGAGATAGACATTTAACTTTTTTCAGTGAAGTCACTGAAATGAATACAGGAAAGAAACAACAACAGAAAAACCCCAAATAGCTGCTTAAAATTCCTTTCTGCTTATTAAGAAATTAGCCTAGGACAAAGGGTAGTTTGACAGTGTTAGCTCTGCAGTTAAATTTAATTGTCACAACTCAAGTGTTAGATAAAATAAAGTCACCTTTCAGTAGACCTAACATACCACATGTCTGTGATGTACTTCTTTGGCACTGGCAACACGTTCTGTGGTCATATTCACTTAGCCGTGGTCTGTCAAAGCATGATAACTCAGAGCCATTGTAGTGAATGTCCTGTGATCTCAGAGACCCTTTGAACAAAATGAATAAAAATCTATGTCAGTAAGTGCTACCCTTTTTCCTGCTCAGAGCCCTCTCTCTTCACACAATCTGTAATTGTCATGCTTCAAAGTATGCCCATACATTTCCCAATTGAAAGATCTAAAGTGACCATGTGGCTTCCAATAATATAAACCACAGATTTTGCAACAAGCCTTAGAACAGCTGGTTCAACTACAGCTTCTTCTAGGAAGACATCTGCTCTCATTTTGATGATTTGAGAGTCTATCTTATTCACTGTTACATTTTTGCAGTGTTTAATGATTCTCAGTGATTCCCATATGAAATTTTCCAGAGTCAGCTTTCAGCCACTGGGATTTTGTTTATATTATCTTAAAGAGCTTTATATTAACAGCAGACTTCCTTTAATCTCTATAATTGTAGGCCAAGGCAAACAAGTTACTGCACTTCACTAAATGAAGTCTGAATTCACTGTGTCACAATTTCTCAAAACTCATGTGTAAAGCAAATTTTAGGTTAGGAACAATTCTTACCATGCCTCTGTAAATCTTTTAATTTCTGCTTGTGCTGAAAGCAGTAATAACATCAATTCTTCCTAGATAGTATTCTTATTTGGCATACAGGGTTCATTAGATGCTGGAAACATATTTTGATAAAAGTTTTATAAAACTATAAATGGAACTAAAGTGTTTTTCACTTTCTTCTTTCTTAATTTAAATTAAGAGGCAGAAAAGTGTTTATTATAAACAAATTACATTGATGAGCTTTTATGGATTTAAAAGAAAATTAAAAATCTTAGTAATTTAATTAATCTTGAATATGGCCATAAAACCAAAACTATTAAGGACAAATCTCTCATCTACACTGGCCATGTTCATTACCTTGATGACCTAATCTGTCTTTCACAATAGCACTTGATGCACAGGAGTTCCAAACTGGTATTTCCACATTGGCATTGCAACTCTGTAATGTCCCATCTTGGATCATGAACAGTCCAAATGTATCTGTGCAGCATGTAGCAGACTATGGCATGGAACTGATGCAATTGGAGTATTTCTGGGCATTTACACAGCATTCTCTCAGTAGCACCTAAAACTTCCACACTGAGCTGGCAAACTTGGATGGGGTCCTAGGCTCTGCTATATTAACCATCTGATTGCTAAACTTGCTTAAATGATGTAGACATTTCACTTCTTTATCTACAGAGAGATCTTCCAAACTAATACCACTCTATAAATATTACCAAGAAATAGCAATAATTGGAAACTCACAGCTTGGTTTCTTCTCCATGAACTGCCTCTTGCAATAGATAACACAAAGGATGAGAAGAGCCAAGAGCACTGTTGCAAGTGCACTGCAGATAACAGCTGCCAGAGCAGTGTCTCGAGGACTGGAAGCAGCTGAAGGGATCTTCACAAGATTTACCTTGGTGGTACCTGAAATATAATTAAATAACAATTAAGGCAAACTGCAGACATTTCCAGAATATAGTCATGTAAATCAAAGTCTGGGAAACAGAAGAGGTTTGTGGCACAGGAAAAAAAAATAGAAAAAAGAGAATGTATTTATATGTGCAACATTAGTTGCACATACAGACAGATATGATTATCAGCACCCTCAGTATGAAAAGGAATCTTAGAAAAGATACATTGCAAAATGTGTGATGATGAGTGCAGATGCACACAAACACATTCAGACTCTCCATGAGAATGAAACTGGATCCTCACAATGGAAACGAAGACATGTGAATGTTTAATGTCACATGAATTTAATATGGAGAACATTTCCTAGTGCAGAGTTGAGAGAGTGATCCACTAGAGGGAGTCACAAATACATGAGCTTCCCTTAATAAAGAAACTTTCTGGGCACTGAGACACCCACAGAAATTCAAATGCTGTCAAAATTATGATCCTGCTTTGTTGCTTATGTCATGACACCATGATCATTTCCAAGATCAAACCCAGGATTTCAACTCTGCCAACTCTTTTTCTTCAGGGATTTTTTTTTTTTTAATACTAGATAATACCTCTAGTCAACATTCAAAAGATTGACTTTATACCCAAACTAGTGAAGACTAGTGAAGAAATGTTTCCAGCTACAAACAGTTTTACCTTTAAGTGGAAAATGAAAAATATTTTTAAAGGATCAAAACTTCAACTACAACTGTTGAAACTGTCTTAAATTATACACTTTAAAATTAAATTATTTTCAAACAACCTATGAATTTTGACAGCCCACCAATTTCAATCTACTTTGAAGCTCTCCTAAATTCAATGAGAAAAAGGAATAAAACACAGAGTACTTCTATGACAGCAAAATTTTAAGAAACCACAAACCATATTTTACTAACTTACAAAAATAAGTTACTGTGCCTATTTACCCCAGAAGACATTTGGTTAAAACCTAAAGACTATAATATCCTAAGAAATGGCCCATGCAGTCATAAGTTTAAATTGTGAGATGTCTGCCAGAATATATTAAAACCTCTAATCAAATTGTACATAAATACAATTGTTCAATATCCTTACTGCAATTTCATAATGGAAGGACAGAACTTCCAAGCTTAGTGCAATCAGTGTAATTGTATTACTCAGGAATAATTTTCTGCAATAGTTATGGTATTTCCTCTACACACATCAAACATGGGCACCAAAGGGTTTGTGATACCATATTGCTTTGTTATAATGCCTACAGTGATTGACAAAAACTAGGCATTTTGAAAAATCTACTTAACTCTAAGACTTTAGAACACTTAATTCCAAAGAAAACACTATATTCTATGAAATAAAGGATCCGGAAAATGAAAGAAATAACCCACCAAATGCATTAAATAAAAAAAGTTTCCGCAGCTTATAGTATCATGTAATTGCTAGTAAATAGGGTAATATAAAAAGGTGGAGAGGCCAGATCATGGTCATTATAAAGAAGAAAAAGTTTAGTTGTTCATTTCCTGATTTCAGCATGAAGAGAAACGAGTGTTACTGCATTTACATCTGCTTAAATATTTCCATTTACCTTCAATTTGTACTATTATGTTCCACAGTCACATCAAAATCTGAAGAGCAAATTTATAGCAGATCTTTTTTACAAAGGAGGTACCCTCTGAACAACATCAGGACACACTTTAATAACTCTGAGACTGACTGACCACTGTCACAGATACATTTCCTCTTACACAGTTATTACCTATCCTTCTCCTCATGCTGCTCTATAATTCCTGCTACTCACAGAGCTAAGTTCTATGGCCTCTTTTCCAAAAGAAAGTGTCACAATCATTTTGTCATAACTAGAATGCTCTTGGCAGGAGCACCTCAGTCTTCCACAGAGAAAACTTTTCACTCAGTTTCTGGGATTCTTGCAGCTGTAGTTTTAAGTTTATAGTTTTAGCAGACTGAAGAAATTTCTGCATGAAGCTCCAGGATATCTCTGAGAAGCAGTAAATCTATATAAAAGCCTGTCTATATAGCAATGTGTGCTGGCTTTGGTGTGAAGATCAGACTGTGCTTTGGTATCAGGTTTTCAATTTTAATCAACTTCCTGATCTAGTTTTTTGAAGGTTAAAGACAGAGTGGACAAGTATTTAAAAACCACACAATAAAAAAACTGATCAGAACATCTTCAAATATTTTTCACATCAATACACCTACTTGCATTAATCTACATAAAAGCACTAAACAGTTCTTAGTAATTAGGCCTTCATAATTTGAAGAAAAAAAAAGTCCATTTTGTAGGGCAAAAAAAGTACAGGAGATGAAGCTTCTATATTTTTGTCTGTCTTAATTTGCTCACAAAATGCATCTATTTTCAAGTATGGTTACATATTACACATTCTAGGAAAATATAAATTATATATTTCTTTAATGACCATCAGCAATATTCAAACTGGAAATACAGTGATTTCATTTTAAATAGGCATGGCAAAATTGAATTTTTTTTTTAACCATCTAGCTATTTAAGATTTATTTGGTTGATTTTTTTTTTTCACTTGAGAAAGCAATTTTCTATTCCTGAGAATGCCTACCACTCATCTTCACCTTCAAAGAACTTTTTGGAATAGCTACTCTGAGCAGTCCATTGTAGTCTAGCTCTAATTATAATGATAGTGATCTTCCCTGCAGAGACCAACATTTCAGGAGTGGATTGCTATTGTAGAAGTGGCCCGTTGGGCATTGCTGAACTCTGCTTTCAGTGTTACTCAGACATGTATGCATTTTCATAAACTCTTTCTTTTCACAGACTTAATGGTCCCACTTCAGTAAAGGAAGGAGTTGCATTTTAAATTTAAACTTGTACTTACATCTATTAGATGATTACATGATTACATGATTAAATGATTAAATTTAAATATGCAATTAAACACTTTGTGAACTAGATGAGATACATTCAGAAAGAAGAAGTGCACACTCTCTTCTGATTCTGGAAAGCATGTGCATATTACCAATAATTTATTTAAGAAACTGATTTCCTTTTTTAAGTCTTAGTTCTAACATATTCTGAAAATGTGCTAATATTGAAGAATTACCCAAAATATCAAACTGTCTCCTGCATAATTTTGAGCAGTAAGCCTAAATACACATTCTTCCCTTAATTAACCAATATTACATTATAATGGTAGTATATGCAAAGGTGTGGTCGTTAAAAGCAAGTAAACTTTCTGCTAATCCAAGACAGTTAAACAGCAGTAACTCAGCTAATATGGAACATACAAATCCAAACTGTATCACTGAAATTTCTACCAATAAACTGAATAGCTGAATTTTCAGCCTATTATACCAAAAAACAAGAGACAGGGCAAAATGTAAAAAGACTTCCTTTGTCACTGATTTCACGGGTTTTTTTTTTTGGGGGGGGGGGAGTTTGGGTTGTTTTGTTTTGTTTTAAGAACCAGGATTAATTACACAGTGACTACTGGAATCAGCAAAACTAAAAGAAAGCTTTTTGTGGTAGATCAACCATGTGAAAAGAGAACTTGCAACACTATGCTTCTTCTATGGATACAGGAAATATATACTCGCTAGTAAAGTTGAGGAGAAAAAAAGGTGGAATATTTTGTTTGGGTTTCTTTCTTAACATGTCAAGTCAATGCTAACCTAAAGAGAGTTTACTCAAAATAACTGAACTAATCCAAATTGGGCTTCAAAAGCAGTAACATGGTAACATGGGACAGAGTTCCATCTGTAACAATCAGGATTGGAAGTAAGATGCAAAGGTTAAAATGTTGTTAATTCCTGGAGTATAGGTATTCCTGGTTGACAGAGGAAAGGAATATTTGCCTATTACAAAAACTCTTTGCCCATTACTTTTATGTTGAATGGCCCAACTCAGTGGTATCAACCTTAATTTGACAAGAATTAAGGGCTCAGACATACCCTCAAGTTATGTAATTTAACAAGTTACTGCCTGTCAGCTGAACTGCAGTGGCTATCTGAATGTGTGCTCTTGATCTACAGAAAAGGCAAGCCAGTGAAAGGCAATGTGGGTCACTTTGAAATTCCTTCCTTTTGGGGGAAAAAAAAGGGGAAAGATGTTTATATTAATTTAAAAGTAAGAAGGTAGTATGTTTATCTAGCCCCAAATAAGTAAAAGGATATATTATATAGACAATTCAGTTACTACATGTATAAGAACTGTATATATAGATAAAATACATATGTTTTATATACTACTGAGCATTAACATAAATGGAAAGCAAGTTTCCCCGAATATGTCTTTAGAGTCTTTACAAAGCAGCAGACTGCCTCCCTTCTCCTGATCTTTCAAGTAGGAGGTAAGAAACTTTATTAAACATTACTGTTGGAGACTGTGGTAAACAGTGGGGACAGAGTCTCCCAACATCTGTAAAAAGACAGCCTTTTGCATGCACGGCCTACACCCAAAGGTTCATTGTGTCAAACCACATTTTTCAAATGTGCTCCAAGTGCTGACTATAAAGCCTTTAGTTAATGGCCTAAAATTTTTTTCTTTTTGTTTGTTTTATTTTGCTGGTTTTGTTATTTTTTAAATAAATGTACCAAAAAGCCCTAGGGGAGAAAATGACTATTCAAGTATTTATCCATTGTTTGGAAATCTTGAGAAATAAGCTTATAAACTAAAATCTTTGAAATTTGATTTATTCATTTCCAAGACCATTTCTCTTGCACTGTGTATTTTCACAAACTCCAGCTGCTGACAGCCTTTTATGTTTAAAATGGTAGAACAATTGCACTGTGTATGTGAATTTAAAATACACATGAACTCCACAGTTCTGGGTACACACCAGAATGTCTGTAAGGCATAGCCAACCTCTGCTACACATTTTTCTTTTAGCAGTTCAGAGATGTGAAATCTCGGTATTACCATGGTGATCTGAATTGAACCATATAGGAGCACAAAAGTAACATTGTTTCATGCACAAAACTTCCAACTTGGAGAACTGTCTAGCCATGTGAAAAGAGAA